ATGCAGGCAGGAGCTTTCACCTAATGATTGCACCGTTTACTAATAGAGTTATAACTGTAGGGTCATGATTCCAGTCCTTAGTCACTCCTAAATACCAACAACGCAGCAGGGACCGGGTAAATTGTCTCCTCGTCTGCTCCTGACAGTGATGTATACATCTGGCACGAACGGATAAAGGAAGCATTGACTCAAAAACGGCATTTTTGCCTAGGTGCGCAGCTAATATTTCGGCAGCCAGCCAGCCTCTCCCTGCCCCCCTTGCCACAAACCCCACCGCTGAGAAGCGTAAGCCGGTGGGCTCGAAGGAAACACAAGGGATGCATTACTCACCCTTCGAACACCGCTCCCTGCCTGGAGCGAGACCGGCTGATCGGCCGAATTGGGAGGCGAAAGGAAGTGATGTGAGGGAAGCAGCGTCCCCGAGCGGCTTTAGCAAGCAGCAAAGGGAAGGGCTGCTGCGGAGCTGCTGGAGGCACAGCCCCGGTCAATCACGGCGAGCCACGAAAGCCATCTTCCAGTGCGAGACCTCATTGTGTCACTCCCCGGCTAACAGCATCCATCACCCACCAGGCTCGTGTCAGGGAAGGATAAGAAGCGAGCTGGCAGCAAACCTTCTTGTGGGCTAGGCTTTCTGACAGCGGGCGGCTCTTTAATCCACCCCGTCACAGTTTGCAATGGCTGGAGGATAACCCAGGAGGATGTCTTAGCAGTCAGGGTAACCCTGCAGCTGGTGGCCAGGCAGGACCAGAGTCCCTCGCTCCTGTCCTGCATTTCAGCCCTGCAAGCTCTAGAAAGGAGCTGTTTGAAAAGGGGGAAATTCAGGCAGGGAGCAGCTCAAAGCTTGTCTGCACCAGACCCATCTCTGTCCCTCCATCCATTGCACAGGCAGCCCCAGAGCCTTGGCCAGGGTGAGCGGCCCCACGCAGAGCCTCGCTGTGCACAGGCTGAGCCACTCAGCCCAGATGCCAAAGTTGTGAAATTTCTACACCGCGCTTGTCTAAGAGACTCAACCCGGACCACATGGGACATCTGCGTCAGAGCCCAGTTTGGCTGGAAAATAAGCTGGCTGCTGGACCCCACCTGAAGTCTGCAATCAAGCACCTTCTGAAAGTTGTATTTTAGCTTAATCACAAGCTATTAGGCTTGCTGTAGCTGTCGTTGCCTTTATTTCTGTACCCTGCATGAGGCAGTAGACCTAACAAACAGATGTATTTGCCCCATGAACACTATTTTTCAGACAGACGATTTTGTGCTATATGAATACATAATAAATATGATTACTTGTCTTCAGCACCTGCACAGCTTCTCGAAGCAGGGTTTTCAAAAGCCCTCAGTGTTGGCCTAATGCTGCTGACAATAACCCATCACTGTCTTCAACTATAGCAGAACAAGATGAAAATTGAAGGCAATTTTAAAGCCCTGCCCTAAAAGCGAACAGCGCTGCTCTAACAAGCCTGTCCCCACCAAGCCACACGACAGCAAGGAAAGCCAGCAATTCAACCCCATCTTCTGCCCAGAGGGAAAGCCAACGGGGCTCTGCAGCCTCCCAGATGCAGCACGCACACAGCTCCGCGCTTCCATCCTGGCTCTAGCGCTCTGCCCGATCCATCCAGCCTGGCATGGAAAGGTATCGAAATGGAGCAAAGACCAGCGATGAGCACGTTCCCAAACACAAGCACACTGCTAAACTGCCCAGCAGCACAGATCCCAGTCCGGGCTCAGTGTCCTTGGGAGGAAGATCCCAGCCAAGCTGCATGCAGCCCGCATTGGGAAAGCCTGTGCTGAGCTCACCCTGGCCTCAGAATGGCTTTTACCCACACAGCGCAGACATACCCCAAGGCTGCGCCTCCCCTGGTGAATTAAACATCTATGGAGGCAGCTCAGGAGCAGAGCGGAGGGGCCATTCCCCACAGGCAGCTCCCGGGCCAGGAGGGTTTGCTGGTTTGCTCTCAGCCCCAGGCATGTTACTTCTCTGGCAGCGGTGCAGCCTAATGACTAAGGAGCTAAATGTCTACTGAAAGTGGATAAAGCTTTCCGAAGGACAGGAAGGTGGGGAGGTGCTGTATGACACTGTGTATGGCCAACAAAACATACAGTAATTCATAGAATCATAGACTGGTTTGAGTCGGAATAGAACTTTAAAGATAATCTAGGCCAACCTCCCTGCCATGAGCAGGGACATCTTCAGCTAGATCAGGTTGGTCAGAGCCCCGTCCAAGCTGACCTTGAACACTTCCAATGATGGGGCAGCCACTACTTCTCTGGGCATCCTGTTCCAGTGTTTCGCCACCCTCATTGTACAAAAAAATATTCCATATATCCAATCTAAATCTACTGTCTTTTAGTTTAAAACAGTTGCCCCTTCTCCTATCATCACAGACCCTGGTAAAAAGTCTCTCTCCAGCTTTCTTATAAGCCCCCTTTAAGTACTGAAAGGCCACAATCAGGTCTCCCCGCAGCTTTCTCTTCTCCAGGCTGAACAAGCCCAACTGTCTCAGCCTGTCCTCGTAGGAGAGGTGCTCCAGCCCTCAGATCATTTTTGTAGCCCTTCTCTGGACCCGCTCCAACACTTCCATGTCCTTCTTGTGCGCTGAGGGCTCCAGAGCTGGACGCAGTACTCCCAGTGAGGTCTCACCAGAGCAGAGTAGAGGGGCAGAAATCACCTCCCTCAACCTGCTGGCCACACTTCTCTTGATGCAGCCCAGGGTACGGTTGGCCTTCTGGGCTGCCAGAGCACACTGCCGGCTCATATCCAGCTTTTTGTCCATCAGTACCCCCAAGTCACTCTTGGCAGGGCTGCTGCTTTCTTCCCCCAGCCTGTATTGATACCAGGGGTTGCCCCGATCCATGTGTAGGATCTTGCATTTGGCCTTGTTGAACCTCATGAGGTTCACATGGGCCCACTTCTTGAGCTTGTCTAGGTCCCTCTGGATGGCATAAGGTCCCTCAAACAAATCAACTGCACCACTGCAAATCTGCTGGGGGTGCACTCAATCCCACTGCCTACGTCACTGATGAAGACATTAAATAGTATTGGTCCCAGTAATGACCTGCGAGGGACACCACTCATTACTGGTTTCCAATTGGACATCGAGCCATTGACTGTAACTCTTTGGGTGCGGCCACCCAGCCAAGTCCTTATCCATCTAACAGTCCATCCATCAAACCCATATTTTACCAATTTAGAGGCAAGGATGTTGTGGGGAACCGTATCAAAGGCCTCACAGAAGTCCAGCCAGATGACATCCATAGCTCTTTCCTTACCCACTAATGCAGTCACTCTATTGTAGAAGGCCACTAGATTAGTCAGGCTTGATTTGCTCTTGGTGAAGCCATGTTGGTTGTCTCTAATTACCTCTCTGTCTTCCATATGCTTTGACATAGCTCCCAGGAGGAACACTGCAAAGTTTCATCTGTCACAGCTGGTGAAGGTTCTACCCATGCTGGCCCCACTCATCCATCCCTGTGCCCACACAGTGCACACCACAGCAGAAATGTGACAGCATGGAGAAACAGGAAAAAGGAAACTGCAGCAGCTATGCAAAAACACCCCTCACCGAACATCACACTAGCTGGAGCCAAAAACCAGCCCAGAAGATGGAGCCAAAAAAACTCTGCCAGAGGAGAGGATGCTGCCGCAGCTCTTTCCTCTATGCTGACTGCAGTGATTTGCTGTGGTGCTCGGCATCGCCTTAGCAGGATGAGGGGCATTCCAACAGGGAACGTATCATTTTAATTCAGGAAGTTAGGCTGCCTTGCTCTCTTGCATTTGTCATCAGGAAGGAAAGGAGCGTGAACCCCCACCCCGACTTTCTGGCTGGTGCATCTGCACCGTGGCCTTCAGACGCTGCTCAGCAAAGCCCAGGGCTGCAAGAAACAGCAGTAATGACTTCCCCTGAAATCCCCTTAAAGTGGTGGGCCCAAGGTAGCCCAAGAGCTCCTGGACACTGGCACTGGGTTAAGATGCTGCTCCCTGCTCACCTGCCTTTGGAGTTTACTGCCTCTACAGCCTCACCATTTCTGCCTGCTGCTGCGACCTCACAGCAGGACACCCTAGGGGGGTCACACTGACCTGGGGGTCTTATTTTACCTTCCTGAGACCAAAACCACATCTCCTAGCAGTACCTGGCAGTCCGAGGCTGTGCAAGCCAGTGAGCCGAGCGAGCCCGATGCAGAGTTGCTTGGCAAATTGTGAGGACAGCCCACCATGGGCACAGCTCTTGCACCATCCCCATGGTGCCCCTTTCTTTTGGTGCCCCAGTGTGTAAATCCCAACAAGGAACCCCACGCTCATCGTGGGACTGGCATAAATTTTTGCTCGAAAATCTGGACAATAAAGAACATCACGAGCGGTGGAGCAACGGATGTCACTCAGGATGCAAAAGATGCTCCACAAGCATGCGCAAACGCAGCCAAGCACACGGCACCTCTGCAGCGCTGCTGACAGCCAGTCTGCACTTGTGTGTTTTACCACAGCAATTAACTGAGCTAAATGTGAGTTTGTTTGACTTTACCTAAATAAAAGGCCACAGCTGATTTTATGCAAGTTAACACCCAGCTGTCTGGACACAGTTATACTGCTACAAAGACACAGATTTGCTACAGGTACAGATTTTCTCACTTCTTTATAGGAATAGCTTACAGGAATATAATTAAGTTGATCTCTGAATATAAACTAGTGTAGACACAGCAATTTTTCTTTTTCATAACGAAGCAGTACATTCTTTGGTCATAGATACAGCCGTTAAACACTTGCAGGAACTCCTGACACTGTACCGTTGGGAAATCTCAACCTCCCATGAATTTAACGTTTTCACATGCACTTTGGTCTGCCTAGCTTTACACTACAGAGGGAGGAGAGCTTCCCAGCATCTCCATTTTCTTGAACTACAAACCACTTGTTTTGCTGCTCAAGGTTTACACCCTGTAGGGCCACAGGAGAGACTCTCC